AGTGTGAGTGTGAAACAGAGATAAGAAAAACGTGAATTCTAGATAAGTATGATATTTTTCTATTTTAATCGTATTATCCTTATTTTCATAGATCGTTCACGTGTTAGAATTAATTTGCGCGTAGCGCAAAAAAAAAATTCAAACGCTCCTCGTTGATATATGGGCGTAAATAAAATCGACAATCCGGCATCTCAATCCGGCATCTCAATACGGCCCTGTTTACAATTAAAACTCCCTACTTCGATCTCCATTTTGAATTCCTACTTCCTAGCATTTGTTTACCGAAGCAAGCGTATCGTCATTACAACCATGCAGCGAAAATAGGAGATTGGTACCCATATACGTGAGTTCGTCCGTACAAGATACGAGTTTAAAAAGACTGCAGAAGCGAGTTTAAAAAGACTTCTGTTCACCAATAAAGAAGGAAAAGATCGGAAAAAGAAGGTGCTGAGACATGAGGGCGTAGTGCACCTGGCGGACGTGATACGGCCCTGACACGTCGTTCTCCACGCGCGTGCTGCACTAATGAAAAAGCACACGAGTGACACGAGTACACATGAGGATCCAGCAATCAACTAATGCGACGTGCAATCACGCGTATTCGCGCCTCTCTCTCTCGCTTTCTTTTCTTACTGCTCGCTTCCTCCCTCGCGCTCACACATACACACACGCATACACGCGCACGCACACCACGGCCACAGTCCGACCGGTCGGGACTCCCGCCATTTCTACGTGACGATCGCGACGTGCATGGCTCGTCGAACAGCTGCCGACCATGACTGGTTGTCAGTGATCATCCCCCCGGATCGGACGAACGGTTACCGCTGCCGCAAACATACACATTCGATCTCGCGCCGGATTGCCGCGCTTATTTAAATTCACACTGACCGTTCATTCGTCGTACCGGCGAACACCTGCGATAGCACCCGCGGCTCCCAACGTCACCCACGACACGTCGGCGTTGTTCGTGCGTGAGCCGACGAACCGTTCGCATGCACACCGTGTTTATTTCAACCGCGACGCAACACGACGTCACCGATCCACTCCTTTTATCATCGTCGGCGAAACTGCCAAGATGGCGGCCGCCGTCACGTGACTCGCGACGTTTTATGACGTCTGTGAATGTTAAAGGGCCGGCGGCCGGCCATTCGCGTTTGTTGCACGTCATCACGTGACCGTATCCACGTGCGTGTCCAATGGGAGAAGTGTTTCCCTAAAATAAGGGCGAATTACAATCAAAATGGCGTAAACGGGGTGAACATGATTATCACCACGTCCGCCCTTTTTCAATAATATGGAATTGATGAATATGACGATTCGTTGTATTAGTACGAGAGAATTTGAAAAGAAATTTTTAATAAAACTAATTATATATAATAGACTTTATCGTTTGCAGTATTATCGCAAGAGATTCTATCAGCCTCCCATATATTAATTTTTATTTTAATATTTCTTAACCTTAATCACCAAATACGTTTTAACCTAATCTACAGTGCGTAGATATTGTAGATTATTTCTTTTCTTTTTGTTTCTTGTTTTATGCCTCAACTTTTAACTTTTTTTCTTTTCAACCGTTTATCAATAATTGTATTTCTTGGCTCTTCTGAAATATGACAACTTTTATCTCGGACGACGAAAAACGAAAATTTCTTATGAAATATTTTATAACTCAGTCTTCTTCACAAAGGCTTCTTTAGTAATACTAGCAATAATTCTTAAATCGATAAAATAATAGTAATAATTCCTGTAAATTTGTCATATAATTTCAATTATAATATACACAAAGTATTTACAAACAATATTATTTATATATATTGTAAGACGTAATATGTACATTCATCAAATATTAAGAATTCACATTCAATGTCATTCATCATCGTTCCTCATCATTGTCATTATCAAAGGACAGGACAATTTTTTGTTTTTCTCTTTTCGCTTTCTTTTTCACAGGTTTATCTATGGCAGTTGTATTAGAATCTGTTTCTGCTGCTTTAGTCTTGCGAAATATGATCTTCTTAGATAGATCAGCTGGGGCATTATTTTCTTCTGCAATTGATAACTTTAATAGATCAACATAAAAAATTAAATACAATTCATAAGATATTTAATTACATGTTTTGTATAATGTCATATTTAATATTACAGTAGATTTAGAGTAGCCTCTGTATTGAATCCATACCTTTTTCTTTCTGTTTTTTAAAAGCATCTGCTTCTTCTGCCGTCAAATCACCAGAATTTAACACAACAACAACAGGTTGCTCATCGGCCAACTCTTCCCTTTCATCATCGAATATTTTTGGTAGAACTTCTCTCTAATTTAATAAGTGAATATCGTTAATTCTATGCTTGCTACATTTTTATGTTTGTACTATCAGTATAGATTCATTTTAATCTCAGTTCAACTTATCATTCATCTTTGTTTAGTGTTAAGAACTAGAAGAAAATAAAGAATGGAATCGAGAAAAAGTTGAAGCGTGATTAAAATTAATCTGCATTAGTGGATACAAATCTTAATTTTACAAAAAAAAATAAACAGTATAAATATTAAGTATTAATATCCAGACATAATAATTTATAATTATGACATAATAAAAAAACTTAAGCACTAATATGTAAACAATAAGCGAATTGACCAATCACAATAGAAACTGTAAGACAATAACGTAAAATATAGCAAATCCAAAATGTTAATTTGCTTATTGTTTAAATTTTTTGTGTGCTATATTCTTTATAAATCATACTTTTGTATCAACAGTAGGACCTTCTTTATATCCGATTTGTTCCTTCAGTTCTCGTAAAAATTTTGGTTCGTTCGGTTTGATATAAGATACATTGTGTTTTTTTCGTGACATAATTTTGTTAACGTCCTCCACAAAAGATTGTTTTGGAAATAATAACCTGTTACACTACAATGATAACTGTAAACAAAGCTCTCCGTCAGTCTATTTCTTCTTCTCTTTCTTAAAATTCTTATTTGGATTTCCAACCCATTACAAAGATCACAATAACGAGACAAAGAAGGATCCAAAGAGAAAAGATTCAACTTCAGATAACCTCTTCAGAGAGCAGAGGATTTGTTTGTTCATCGTTCATGGCTTACGATTTGCAACCCTATTAAAAACAGGCTTTAATTCTAAGCAGTCCTTAAAGTGGCGTCTACAATGGAATTTAAAGCGTAAAATTTAAGCTTTAAGTGTAAGAATTGATCAATCACAGTCGATCATTCCTCTCACAGTCGACTCTGATTGGTTAATGTCTTATGATTTAAAACTCAAAACTTAAGAAATAGCATTGTAGAAAGTCTATCATATTTGATTATAGTCGATTAGCCTTCATCTATCCATTTCTCAATCGCGATAAAGTCATACAAATCGAGCACATACTTCGCCAGAAAAGGAAGTTTTCAAGTCTTGCAGTTGGCAAAATTTAGTGCCAGTTTCACCAACGTCAGTTAAGCTTTGGCGTTTTTTCGTTGTATAACCAAAAGCAATCACTAAGGCTATCTTCGTCTTCTGATCTCTTGTGATAGCTTCTAGTTAGATAATGAAAAAATGCCCCTTATTTATCTGTCGATTAACTTCATCACTAGAATAGCCAACAGCAAGACTTACAAATCTGTCTTTCTCTTATTCTTGTTAGTAATAGTAAAGAAAAAGTGTTGTGGGTAGAGATAATAAATAAAACATTGAAATGTAAATATTTTGATTATTTTTTACAAATACATACTTTCGAAATTAGATTAGAGATGATGAGTTTTCAGTTTAGCAGTTGGCAATACTCAAAGTTAATCGACGGATAAAGTAACTGGCGTTGGTGAAACTGGCCCTTAATCGACCGATTAAAATTAATCGGAGTCAGTGAGACCGGCATGTAAACTTGATACAATTATTGAATACCCAGGAGTATTGTGAATCCATGATCACGATGTAGTTTCATATAACGAATCCAGTGAACAGAGGTTACCGATTTCGATCGATCGCGGCGTTTTTCTGCGTGTATGTCATTCACGCGTTTATCGCGAATACGCATGTAAATTGTATGTATACATAACATGTGTACACAGTCTCGAACTCTCGACAGCTTCCGATATTGTGATCCATTTTTATTTCATTGAATTTATCCTCGAGACACGACATTAAAAATTACGTATGTGCCGGAATTAATTACGGAATTTTCTCTTTTTCATATTATTCTGTTTAGTTTAAAACTTGCTAATTTAGATACGATATGGGCAAATAGCGACGTGGCAAAATGTCTCACGTTGAATCATGTAAAGTTCGGCAGCAAAATGAATTGGAAGTCTTGAAGGTATATGACGCGCTAAGTAAGCACGTGGGAAAAAGTAACATTTTCCAAGCGATGTTAATATCTCTCTTAATAATTCTATTTTTTCATTTATAATAGTCCATTTTTGGTGATGAATTACGTGACTTGAGAAAGAAGAATAAAAAGAAATGGCAACCTCTAGATATTGTTGTTACCTTGACACCGCAGAAAGGTATGTCTGGACCAGCGGAAGTCTATGCGCAGATAGATTTGCATATTACGTGTTGCGATAAATATCCTCATGAGTAAGTTTTATATCTTTCAATATGTACTGTCTTTATTTCATAACGTCTACATGATTTATTTGTCATATTTTAGAGTACCAACCATTCAACTGCAAGACAGCAGAGGCTTGTCTCATCAACAGGTTGCAGTTTTGTCATCTGAGCTCAAAAATTTAGCACAAAAGTTAAAGGGTGAAGTTATGATTTTTGAATTCAGTCAGCATGTTCAGAAATATCTGCATGAACATAACAAACCGAGTTACAGTAGTTTTTATGAGGAGATGGTATCAAGAAATAAAGAAAAAATACAATATGAGATGCAAGAAAAGCAAATGAAAGAAGATAAAGAGAGACAGGTTTGATTTAATATATCGGTTCATATATTTTTTCGATTGCACATTATGATTTATTTAATTTCTGTTATCATGGATATTTCCACAGGTTCTGCAAGATGCCATACAAAAACGTCAGGAAGCCTTGAAAGCTGAGATGCGTAATCGAAAGGAAACAGTTCGATTGACCACAGATTCTGTCTTTCGATCCATACCATCATCTCCGCATGAACGAGGGACGAGCCGTTTCAGACGTCGATGTATGAGCACGTCGGAAAGCTCCGAAGGATCATTGTGCGAGCATAGAGGTACTAAACTCATCCATTTCGACAGTAATAAAGGCGAGAGACAAGTGCACCGAGGCAAATGCTTGGGGCACAGTACAAAAGGTTCCATAGTATATGCTGGTGTGGATGAGACTACTGGAGAATTATTAGCTATCACGGAATGGATGTTGAAATGTGCGCTGACAAATGATTGCTCTACTCAAGAAGTAGCCATTGATATACATCATGCTATGAAACAGATTGCCAGTTTGGAGCAAGAGCTGAATCACTTGTATAAACTGCATCATCCAAATCTTGTACATTATTTAAATATGAAATATTTGCAAAATAACAATAACGTGGTGATTTACGTGCTTCAAGAGTTCGTGGTATGTAAATATGTGCACATATATTGCTTTGGAGCAGCAATATTTGATAAGATTAAGAATGGTTTTCATGTTTATGATATTAATTGTATGTAAAAGTAGGTTGGTACCACGTGTTCGTTCTACCTGATGGAAAACATTCCAGTCGACATCGACATGTTGAGGCATTTGGCGACGGGTGTCCTCGACGCATTGCAATACCTCCATGAGAATAATGTAGTGCACAAAGATTTACGAGATACCAGCATTTATATAGACCATATGGGTGTTGTAAGATTGTCCGATTATTCTTTAGATAAGAGATTGTCAGACATGTATCATTCGAATTCCTTAGCAAAGACTGAACATGATTTTCCAACGATTCAAGGCCGAGGTGGCAAAAAGGCAGACATATACAGATATGGAATATTATTGCTTTCGTTATTAAAAGGAATCATTATATCCGGGGAAGAAATCGATCTGACAGTAATCCCACAGGTAGACTTTTTTTTAGTGAGAGAAAATCTGTCATTAGTATTACACTGAATTAGTACATATTAAAGACTGCTTTATCCGAATGCAGTAGTATAATGCTCAATGCAGTAGTATAATGTATTCTTTAAAATGAGGAGAAATATAATATATAATATAGATTTTGATAATAAAATGATACATGTATATTCTATTAAACAATGTCACATTATTGGATATTTCATCATTTCAAATGTTTATATACTTTTACATTTAAGTTGGCTGATTTCATGTATTCTTTCAGTATGCACTAATGTAGTGTAAGTGACCAAATTTGCTATTTGTGTAGCACATACGTTTTTCTCATAAAGTGCCAATAGTGGACACGCGTATCCTAAGTTAAATAATTTCTTTTAGCTTCACTTGAGGGATTTTATTTCAAAATGTCTCATCGACGATGAAAGAATGCGTTGGTCTGCAGAGCAATTGCAACAACATGGTTTTATAAAAATACCATTAGCACGAGGTTTATCACCTTCAGTACCGGATCACGATGAGAAAGAGAAAAATTTAGAGCCAGAAGAACCGGATATCGATATTCAGTTACATTTGCCATCGATGGGTAGGCAATCGCGAATACAAAATGAATTTGAAGTGCTTAAATGGCTGGGAAAGGGAGCCTTCGGCGACGTTTTAAAAGTGAGAAATAAATTAGACGGCGGTGTCTACGCTATCAAACGCATAGAATTAAATCCAAAGAAAAAACAGCTGAATAGGAACATTACGCGCGAAGTTAAATTGCTCTCTAGAATGAATCATGAAAATGTAGTACGTTATTACAATTCGTGGATTGAAAGTGCTACTTTGGATGATTCAATCAGACATAGTCATTTTACGCCAATCACCACGTCTTCAGATAGAACAACCACCACGCAGGATAAAGCAGATATAGTTAATGTAATTATATTATACACGATAATGATTATGTCACTCGTAACAAGAAGAGCCGTAACAACATTCTACTTTATAATGTTGAATTATATATAATTGTAATCAGACTTTTGCGCTGTATAAAAACATGACGTGAATTTTAGCATCTGGAAAGTGATGAGATAGAAAAATTTGCTCCACCATTACGCGATGTTGAATGGAATATATCATACGAATCTCGGGCGAATGTGACTGATAGTGATGATGAAAACAGTGATGCATCGACTGATTCCGATAGTGAAGAACACTGCGCATTTCTGTAAGATTATTTTCTTTTTCTGAAATTATATATATCCTCTATAATATTTAATATTTTTATTTCATTTAATTTATTTCATTTAATTTATATTATTCTATATACAACTTTACATTTAAGATGCGCGCGTGCGTGCGTGCGCGTGTGTAATGCAGAGAAAAACTACTTACTATTAGAAAAGCTGATTTGAATTGCATCTCTTACAGAATGCGAACTTTATTACATATTGAGTCTTCCGATAGTATTGAATTCGAAAGAGATGATATATCACAAAAATGCGCAGTAACGCTGGACGTTTCCAACAATGATGTTAAAGACACTGAAACTTCTAGCGAAGATGTAACAGTAAAAGAAATACAATTTATGTACATACAAATGGAATTCTGTGAGAAAAGCACATTAAGAACTGCCATAGATAATGGTTTATATGAAGATGAAGAACGTTTTTGGAGGCTTTTTCGAGAAATTGTAGAAGGTCTGGCGCATATTCATCAGCAGGGTATGATACATAGAGATTTGAAACCTGTGAACATCTTCCTCGATAGTAATGATCACGTCAAGATAGGAGATTTCGGATTGGCCACGACTAATATACTGTCGTCGTTAGTTCAGACCATCGATGCTGATAAAGAATCACAATTTGAAAAAGGTACAAGTATAGACGATATTTTGAATCCACCGATTGATCAATTGCATTATGCGCAAATGCAACTTTGCTCTGAAAAAGATGCATTTATGCATAATGCGATTGATCAATTAATAAATTATATGGTTACATATGCCTTATATAGTTACATGCGATATATTGATGACAAATTATATTATTATGTCTTTTCAAGGTGGAAGTTATGATGTAGAAGAATTAGGATCTCTTACTGGTCAAGTTGGAACAGCTTTATATGTAGCTCCTGAACTTTCCGCAAAAACTGCCAAAGCAATTTACAATCAAAAAGTGGATATCTACAGCTTGGGAATTATTTTCTTCGAAATGACATACAAACCACTGACTACCGGAATGGAGCGTGTCAAGGTCCTGTTGAATTTACGCTCGAAAGAAATCGTCTTTCCTCCGGATATACCGGAAACAGATGTATCGCCTCAAATTCATATCATACGGTAAAAAAATTGACAATGCATATTATATGATTCTAAGATATATGAAATACGAAATAATGATTAAACTTTATCCATATTAGTTGGCTGTTGAATCATGATCCAAGTCAACGTCCTACCGCTCAGGAATTACTTTCTTCCGCATTCTTGCCGCCGCCATTAGAAGATACGGAATTGCAAGAAGTAATGCGCCACACGTTATCTAATAGTCAAAGTAAAGCATATAGATATTTAGTGACGTCATGTTTCACTCAAGATGTTACGCCGGCAGAAGATATTACTTATGATATGAATTTACCTGCTAGAGGAACACCAAGTGTTCTTTCCTCAAAAAGACAGTTTCTGCAGGAAAGCGTGAAACAAAAAATCATTGAGATATTTCAAAAGCACGGCGGAATATACCTCGCGACCCCGTTGTTAATGCCTAAATCCATTCAGCATTCTAACTTTACTGAATCTAGCGTAAAATTGATGACCCGTACTGGCAGTATAGTCTCTATACCTCATGATCTTCGTACTCCTTTTGCTAGATATGTTGTATGGAATAATATTTCGCATATTCGAAGATACGCTATCGAACGTGTTTTCAGAGATAAAAAGGTATGTACTGTAAATAATATCTTGCATGTATGATTGCAAATTAATATCTATTAATATCGAATTATTGTAGGCACGAGGATTTCATCCAAGAGAATTATATGAATGTGCTTTTGATATCATTAGTCCTGTAAATAACAATTTAATGCCAGAGGCTGAATTGATCTTCATTATATGGGAGATCTTTAATGAGTTACCACAGATCCGAGAACATAATTTCATAGTACGCCTGAATCATACGTCACTATTGAAAGCTGTATTAATGTATTGTGGCGTAGAGAAAGACAAGTATCAGGATATATATTCCATATTGCAGGATGCTCGCGACGGAAAGTTAACTAAATTTCAGGTCCAAACGCATTTGATAAGTTTATGCTTAACCGATCAAGCTATGGAAACTCTTTTTAATTTACTTGAAACGGAAAGCTCCGTTACGAAAATTAATAGTGTCTTAAGGACATTAACGAAAAGAAAAGGAGAAGCTGCTCGTTTAGCCAAAGAAGGCATGAGCGATATAGAGACTGTAACATCTAATGTAGAAAGTTTGGGTGTTAAGGTAATATTATAATAATGTCTTTATATAATTTGTGTAAGTCATTTACAAACATTCTTTTTATTTTTTTTTTCTTTATCATATTTCAGTGGCCTATTACTGTCGTACCTTTATTAACGTACAATGTACAACAATATAGTGGTGTGATATATCAAATAACTTGCGAACTGAAGCATAGACGGAGACGATGTGGTCAAGACATCATAGCTGCGGGCGGTCGATATGATAAAATGCTGGTGTCATTTAGAAAAGTTTTAGAGCGCACCGGAATGGCCAGTAAGGAAATAAAACAATACGGTGCTGGTATTAGTATATCGTTAGATAAATTGGTATCCGCTGGAGTCGAGGAGTGTGAGGGTAGTGAAAGTAAATACGGTATTGATGTGGCTATATGCTGTGAGGGAAATTCAGAAAACGAAGGAAGAGGAGAAAAGGACATGATTAATATATTACGGGAAATCTGGTCATTAGGATTGAAAGTTACAACATTAGATCTATGCACTATGGAGGAAATATTAGAATACTGCCAAGAAAATTCTATAAGTCATATAGTATTATTAAGAAATAGTACTTTAAGAGTGTTAACATGGGAAAGAGACCGATTTCAAGAGAAAAAGTGGAACACTATACAGGATATTGTTGAATATTTACAACGACAGTCCGAAAACGCATTGCCAATCTTGAATAGATCCGAAAGTAAAATGAGCGCGAATGATATATCAGTAGTGCCTAGCAATCCGATTAATGTTACCGTAGGTTTCATTCTCTCTGAGCGAGATAAACTGTCCGGAAGTGGCAAAAGAAGTTTCAAAAATACCATATTAGCACAAATGTCATCTTACTTGCAAAGAATATCACATAAAGTTCCTGTAGAAATTTTTGCTGTCTTTTTGGAAATATCTGTTATAAGAACATTGATCAGTTTTCTGGAGATCGATGAGGAGGAACAAGCTTTCCAAAAAAGTATTCAGATTGTAATAGACAAGTGAGTATTACACAAATTATGTATATTTAATATATTATGTTATATAAAATAATGAACCATTTCTACTAGTGTCGATAATATTGATTATGTTATTTTTATAGACATCCACGGCATAAGAAATATATAAAAGAAATCTGCGAGGGTATGAGAAAATTAAGAAATGAAAAGTCCAAGCCTGTAGAGATACTTTACAGTTTGATAGACAGTAAACATATGACTTTAGTATAAGATATTATCAAAACCGAAAATATATTTTCATAATAATTATATGAAATTAATAATGATGAATTGGAATGTATATTAATAGATCAAACATACAAAATAAGTATTAGACACTTAAGCATTTTTTGTACTACATTATATATATTTTTAAACATCACATTTAATAAAAAAATAAGACTGTATATATGACATGACACTCCAAAATAGATTTCTGGATATAAAACTAAATTAAGCGTGTTTATTATTACAACATCAAATATTTTGTTGCATATATTTTCTTCAATTGTTTCAATCCTTACTGCAAAATTTAAATATATTCAAAAGCTTGTGCTTGCGTGCGCGCGCGCGCACACATATTTCGTACATAACATTTTTTCTAAAATTAAAAAATCTATTTTTTTGGTATATAAAAATAAATAATAAGATTACTTGTGGCAGGAGAAGATAAGCCTTTCTATATTTTACCCACTTAATTTATATAAATATAATTCTATACGCAATTATATTGCAATCATGTTATATTTTATAAATGTGTAATATTTAGAGATATATATATATATATATA